AAAATCTCTCCCCAAATCAATAAAATAAAAGGCAAAAAAGGTAGGTTAATACAAAAAAAAAAGAATATGTAAGAAATCAATAAGTTTTATTAACAACTCTTTCAGATTCTTTAATCTTTCATATTTCATAGGCTCTCTAATATGACTCTGAAGATATAAGGAAGTCTCTTTTGTCTTTTTTCATTTGGCTTCACTCAACATTCCCATCCTGTCTTGTATTGAACTGAGTCGCATTCTCTGTCTGTATTTTGTTCATGTGCCCCTAATGACTTCTTACTCATCTGGGCTGTAATTTTCTCAACGTTCATCTCTTAAAGTTGGCAGAGTGTATCAGTCTGTTCAAATATTTATCTATGTCTACAAATAGCTAGAACGAGGATTAATAGAAAAGAAACAGAACGAGCCATATCCACATTTCCTCTCTCTCTCTCTCTCTCTCTCTCTCTCTGTGTATGTGTGTGTAAAGTGATGGGATTGGTTTGTATCAAAAAATTCTGAAAATTTCACAGGCCATTCTTATTACATAAAGCAACCAAGAGGCCAGCTTTCTTAGTGGAGCAACAGCTGGATTAAAATAAAGTAGATGTCAGAATAATAGGGCTCTGATTTAGTTCACGTGATGATTTTCAGGTCAGACATAGGCTTTTGTCCCCGGTTCAGTCTGGAGTCCTTTCTGCTTCACTCAATTTGGGCTTTGCCTAATGGTGCAAATCAATTTGAAAATTCGTGAAGCCAATGCTTTGGGAAACCAAAATGGACTTAAATTCCTTGATTGTGAACTGATATACATGACATTTATAGAAACTGCAATATTAAACCTGCTAAATTTCAGATAGGTAGCTTTAGAGGTTTATACGGTGGCACCTTTAAAATTTGCTTCTAAAGGCTAGTAGGCTGAAATGATTCAACTTGTGCTCTGGACACACATCCATTTGTAAATTTGATTTACGTCAGGAAACAGTACAGTTCACAGACAGAAATCATCCTTGGGATTGTGATCCAAATAAAACTCACACTTACTAAAAGCAATACAATAAACCCCACCCAAACCCGCAAATACAGAGTATCGAAAAGATAGCTCTCCTTCTGATGCCTTCTGATTTCAGTCCAGCAGCATAGACAATAGTCCACTAGGCAAAGGGCAAGCACACATTCTACTCAACAATAAAGGGAAAGTGGGAAAATCTCTCCCCAAATCAATAAAATAAAAGGCAAAAAAGGTAGGTTAATACAAAAAAGAATATGTAAGAAATCAATAAGTTTTATTAACAACTCTTTCAGATTCTTTAATCTTTCATATTTCATAGGCTCTCTAATATGACTCTGAAGATATAAGGAAGTCTCTTTTGTCTTTTTTCATTTGGCTTCACTCAACATTCCCATCTTGTCTTGTATTGAACTGAGTCCCATTCTCTGTCTGTATTTTGTTCATGTGCCCCTAATGACTTCTTACTCATCTGGGCTGTAATTTTCTCAACGTTCATCTCCTAAAGTTGACAGAGTGTATCAATCTGTTCAAATATTTATCTATGTCTACAAATAGCTAGAACGAGGATTAATAGAAAAGAAACAGAACGAGCCATATCCACATTTCCTCTCTCTCTCTCTCTCTCTCTCTCTCTCTGTGTATGTGTGTGTAAAGTGATGGGATTGGTTTGTATCAAAAAATTCTGAAAATTTCACAGGCCATTCTTATTACATAAAGCAACCAAGAGGCCAGCTTTCTTAGTGGAGCAACAGCTGGATTAAAATAAAGTAGATGTCAGAATAATAGGGCTCTGATTTAGTTCACGTGATGATTTTCAGGTCAGACATAGGCTTTTGTCCCCAGTTCAGTCTGGAGTCCTTTCTGCTTCACTCAATTTGGGTTTTGCCTAATGGTGCAAATCAATTGGAAAATTCGTGAAGCCAATGCTCTGGGAAACCAAAATGGACTTAAATTCCTTGATTGTGAACTGATATACATGACATTTATAGAAACTGCAATGTTAAACCTGCTAAATTTCAGATAGGTAGCTTTAGAGGTTTATACGGTGGCACCTTTAAAATTTGCTTTTAAAGGCTAGTAGGCTGAAATGATTTGTGTCCTGTCTGATTCAACTTGTGCTCTGGACACACATCCGTTTGTAAATTTGCTTCACTTTGTTCCAGAACAGCAAATTCTTTATCCTCACACTTGACACAATATTTTACGGTGATGCTGACAAGATGGCTTGCTTTTACAAGAACAGGCTTGTGGAAATTGCATAAATACACAAAATTACAATGGTGGATGCTCTGTTGCATGAACTTCACAAATTAGGAACAGTGGATTGTGAGTGTTTGTGTTTGCTGTTTTTGTGTACTTCACTTCTCAAAGTGAGAAGACCTTGGTTTTGCACAGAGCCATTTTGTGCAAATTGTGAAGGTAAAGGTAAAGGTGCCCCTTGACAATTTGTGTCCATTTGTGTTCGCCTCTAGGGGGTGGTGCTCATCCCCGTTTCCAAGCCATAGAGCCAGCGTTTTGTCCGAAGACAATCTTCCGTGGTCACATGGCCAGTGTGTCTTAGACATGGAATGCTGTTACCTTCCCACCAAGATGGTACCTATTTATCTACTCGCATTTTGCATGCTTTCGAACCGCTAGGTTGGTGGGAGCTGGGACAAGTGACGGGCGCTCACTCCGTCGCATGGATTCAATCTTACGACTGCTGGTCTTCTGACCCTGAAGCACAGGCTTCTGCGGTTTAGCCCGCATGTGTTATGGCGAGCCCTTCGAGAGTTTTCTATGTAAAATATACACAGAAGTGGTTTGCCATTATCTTCTTCTGGGGGTGCTCTAGGGATTGTGCAGCATGCCCATGACTACACAAACCGACTCCTATCCAAGGAGGCACAGTGGAGAATCAACTTCCCAACTAAGATAAATGTAACACTTTGCTTTAAAAAACAAAGTTTGAACAACAGCAACAGCAACAACAACAACAACAACAACAACAACAAACCCTGAAGCTTGAACAGCAGCATATTAAAGAATCTCTTTCCTGGCAAGCTCACACCTTGAGTGTGCTCATGTAAACACTGGCAAGGAAAGGAAAACACTGAGAAAAGTTCTAGATTAGAGATGGGGAAGACTCACCATTTTGGTGAGTTGTCCTGCTTTGCGAGTTGTCAAAAGTTGATGACTCACGAAGCTGCCCCCATGAACCAATGAAGCACACATTTATTTGTCAATTCATGGGGGGGTTTACAAAAAAACCCTGACCCCTGCTACCCCTGTGCCTGCCTGCACCACCACTTCTGCCCCCCACTGATGCCCCCACCACCATAATCACCACCGCCGCCACTGCTGCTGTCTCCAGCTGGCCTCCGCAGCCATGGCTTGTAGAAAAGGACACTGGCTGCCCTTTGCAAAGATGGTGGCTGCAGCTTCATTTAGGATAGGGAAGCTGCAGCTGCTATTTTTGCAAAGGGCAGCCTGGATTCCCTTAAGGCAGGCTAAAGTAGGGAGAGGAAGGGGGTGGAGGATAGGCTGTGGGGGTGGGTGGCTACCTATCAGCTCACCAATCAGCTGATTGGTGGGCCAGTGGGCAGAATGGGAAAACCATAGGAAGAGAGGGAAGGCCATGTTCCCCAGCCCTGCCTCCACCAGCGGGAATCCACGAGAGGTAGCACCTTGGCTTCCTTGTACTACCTGGTGCTGCTTCTGATCAGGTGCCTGCTGGCGGGGATAGAGTTGGGAAGCACCGAATACCTGTTTGGCTGCTTAATGAACCAGCACAAATCCCCCCAAACCAGGGGTTCATGCACATCTCTATCTAATTACTCTCTGTGATAGTCTCAATTTCAGTTACTCTGGAAGGTGTCTCATACTAGTTCAGACTATTGGTCCATCAAGACCAATATTGTCAACATGTAATGGCGGCCACCGTCCAGGGCTTCAGGAAGAACTTTTCCTATTTCTCTTTGGAGACAGTCAGAGCTTGGGACCGCTGGCATAGAAAAGAAATACAGTACTACTAAGTTCCTCAGTGTGGAAGGGATGGTCACTCTCGAATTGGCCTTCTCAGCCACACTAGATGCTGTTCCAAGTCCTCCATGCAGAGCACAATACCGTAGTCTCTCGAGACTGAAGGATGCCTATGATTATGATGACTACTAAGTTATGATCATTTCCGACAGGAGGCAAAAAGGAAGGAAAAGCATTTTGTACATTTCCTTCCTTTCCACAAGAAGGATGGAGGTAAGCCCTGAGAGCATCATCTTAACCTGAGTGTGAACTAGCAATGATTTCACAGCTCATTTTCCCCCCTCCCCGTCTTCTCTTCCTGTTACTTAGAATAAAAACATAGGAAAGTTGTGGTTTTGGACCACAGCTCTCAGAATTGGCCAGCAAGTTTGGCCAGTTCTAGTTCAAGTAATTTTTTTTCTAAGTTCTGTCTGGCATCTGTAGTCCCAAAGCAGTTGACAGAACTGGTGAAACAATCAAATTAAACAATAAAAGCCATCCTGTTAGAACCGTACAGACAGCAAGGCAGTTAAACTAGAAGCTGTCAAGTTTTTTTTAAAAAGGTAAGAATTCAAACTTGCTAAAAATATATATTTTAACAGATAAGAAAATCCATTCAACTGATGTTTTAAAAAGTGTAGAAAAATAGAATAATATTTTCTGGAATGACAAAAGCATATGAGTAGGTATCTGGCAAACCTTTTAAATGTATTGCTTCCCAGCCAGTCAGGTTGTATGCATAAACAGAAATTAAACCACTCTCAAAAGATGATAGTTGACATCTAACATCTGGCAAGCCTTTTAAAGTGGTTGATGTGCCACCAGTAAAGAGCCTATTTCTCTGATCACCACTTGCCCCATCTTCAAACGCAGAAATGTGGCAAGAGAGAAGACTCCAAAAATGACCAGCCTGTATGCACATATGAGATGTTCTTCAAATAACACACACACACACTATCAACTGAAGCTTAGCGAAAGAAAGCTACAAGGGACAGCTTTACGGCAGCAGTACCTGATAGAACTCGAAGATATATCTGGGTCATGAGCAGATACTTGACCAATCACAGAGTTAATAGCAGCATTTTCATGTACTTCCAGAAGGTAACTTGGTGAAGAAAAGACAGGAGGTTCGTCAGCATCCTCTACTACGATTTTTACTGTTGCTGTATCCTTGAAAGGTCCCACGCTGATGAAACGTGGATCAATATGTACATTAGTTGCTTCTATCTTCAGCGTATAAGATCTCTTGGTCTCAAAGTCCAGAGGCTGTTAAGAATGACAAAGACAAATGCCTTTTACTAATGATCACAACAGCAAGAACAAAAAGATACAATGCCAATAGATGGAAGTATTGTACATTTAAGTTCCTATCATTGAGTTTCAAAGCAATATCTTTCCACTTTCCTTGATCTGAGCTGTAGTTTTTTTTTCTCAGCATTTATTGATATATGTGTTTTTTGGGCAAGCCTCAATGAGACCACCCAGACTGCAATGTATTTTTTTGTTAAAACACAGAAATACAAAAATACTGAGAATGGTCACACAGGATCGTATTTTGCTGCTACATCTTTGAGACAGCAATGGCACTTACTTATTGATAATGTCCTAGACCATAGGTTCTTAACCTGTGGTCTGTGGACCCCCCGGGGGGGCTGCAATGCTCTCACAGGGGGTCCAGAAAGGCTTGAAGAACTGTTATGATTCTGTTATGATTTTTAAAACAGAAAGAGTTAATTAGAATATAGAAATTAAAAAAATTAAAGGGAAATTAGAACACAATCTTAATTTCAATGTATTCGCGAAGGCTTTCACGGCCGGGATCTAATGGTTGTTGTGGGTTTTTCGGGCTCTTTGGCCGTGTTCTGAAGGTTGTTCTTCTTAACGTTTTGCCAGTCTCTGTGGCCGGCATCTTCAGAGGACAGGAGTAGCACTGCTGGACACCCATCAATCACAGTGATAGATAATCTCTCCTCCTTATCACGACAATACACCCACAACAAAAACATGCTGATCAGCATAATCACCCTATCGCCTGAAAAGGGCAAAAGCTGATCCCACAGCTATAAATACTCAACTCCCAAACAAACTGCACCAGAGCATAGAGTGCTGTCTTCTGAAGATGCCAGCCACAGAGAAAAACCCACAACAACCAATTTTAATTTCCCTTGCTTGCTTGTGTAAAATTTGAAACCCACAACAACCAATCTTAATTTCCCTTGCTTGCTTGTGCAAAATTTGGCTTTTCTAACCTACCACCTCCATTCAAAACAAACAAAAGTAAAAAAAAAGTTATGAAAATAACTGTTTGATAGCAAATAACTGATATTTTTGCACATGGTGAGAACATTCAAGCGAATGATGCTGAGTGGCTGAGAGATAGCATGTGGCATTGCTTGCTACTGTGCAAATAGTCAGAAGCCGTGGGAAGAGTTGCAGTCAGCCAGTGTCAGTGTGAGTGAGTGTTCAGAAGGATTTCTTGTTTGTGTTTCTTCCTCGATTCCTGCTAATAAAACCCTTTGGTTATTGTTGAGTAAAGTGAATTTTCAATATTATCACAATGTATTTCATAACAATACATTTCAGCTGAGCTCAAAATGGATCACTGGCTTAATTTGAAATGTAAAAGAACTGATGCTGTTAATGAGGGTGCATCTTGATCAAACAAAATGTAACTTCTTCCAGTCATCTTAAAAAGTGCTGCTGTTATATAGCAAAGAATATCTGTCGATGAGACTCTTCATGAGAAACTTTAGATGAATATTTGATGCACTTTAAGGTTTTAAATCCTGAGTTAAGTCTTCGTGGTCTGCGGCAACAAAAGATATTTAAAGGAGGTACATCATAAAAAAGAACCTCTATCCCAGACTACATATTAATCACATAGCTTAAAAATATTATGTTCTCTGGAGAGAAGCACATGCTTAAAAAGAATAAATTATTGGAGTAAATATGCTAGCATTTGCGGAAAACTCTGTGTGTGCGCCTGAGAAACATACAGAAGTGGCAATGATTATGCTGAAGTTAGTTAGCAACAATTTAAATCTAAACATATGACAACTGTAATGTTACCATATATGTTTAAGGCGGTTAATTATAGAGAACAAAAAGTATGACTGTTTTCATGTAGTGGCTGAAACCTTATTGTGTAGTTACACAAATGCCACAGCTTTTAGAAGTGAGTAGCCATAAATCTAGAAATCTCTGTAGCCCTTATCTGTTGCACAGGGTGGCATGTGCATTCTTGGTTCATGTCTGGCATCTCCAGATGAAAGGACCAAGAAATAGCTGGTGGGAAAGACATTTAACTAATATGCAAAGAAAAAAACCTGTGTAGACTAGAAGGACACATTTACAATGTAAAGTGTGGTTAAATGACATTGGAGATGCTCAAATCTGAATATAAATCCAGGGTCTGGAGAAGCTTTTTTGATTGTTTTTAGCACAATTCCCAGAATTCCCCAGATTATGAAAGTCCTACTAGAACATCACCAGAGCATCAAGATGGTCCACCACCCCTATTTGTTGGACCTTTCGATGCAGCACTTTAAACTTCTAGTGGGACAGTCACTCACTCATACACACCACACACATTGCACAATATTCGTAGCCAACTCAGCAATTAGGCTGAATATCTAGAGCCAGTATCTGTTCTGGCTGAGAGATCCTGAGAGTTTTACTCCCAGAAGTAACTTTTTTTCCCCAAGCTCAGTATAACTCTCACATTTCAAAGCACTTTTTCCTCTTTCACTGTTCATGTAGTGGAACCATCATTGCTGTTCCTCAGTCGGCCACTGAGGGTATGATCCATCCAGAAGGAAATTCGTCTGAAATTAAGCTGATGTTAGCTAGCAGACGAACGCAGCTTTCTTCTGCCAATAGATGCAGCACTGGGGATATAAGTTACCTTCCTGAACATTAACAGCACATGTTCAGGAGTTTTATCTGGAAGAGTGATCTCTCTCTGGTCCCTCTCTCTTTCTCTCTCTCTGCACTATGCACAACACAGATGTGAATCACTATGATCACATTATTATCTAAAATGAGCTTAATTATACAGTGTGTTTTCCATCGAGAACTTCAAATATAGCAGAATAAACTGCAGATCTGAATTAGTCAGAATCTTCTGGTGTTTTTTACTATGTACAAAATGCCACACATAATCGCAGAAGTGCCTGTTTAGAGAGATACTTGTCCCTTGCAGATCACATACCTGATCACACAACTGATTGCTTTGGAATAATACCATGGGGTCACTTCCCACTCTCACCTCCCCAAAGGGCAGTGTAGATACTAAAAGCTTAATGCACATCTGCCTGAGTCATGTACTGAGTGTATTCAGATGTGAGTACCAAGGTTTAAGGACGTGATGTTGTACAGCTGTAAAAAATGATGTAACTTTATGTAAGTGGAAAATGAAGTAATATATTTTCTGATTGGTTCGAAGAATGTATAAAAGGCATGTGTAAAGGGGACATTTTATCTGCTGTAAGTCAGATCACTTATTTCTATGCTATGTACTGTACCATGTCATGTTATGCTGCCAGATGAATGTCTATTCTCTCTGTATATATGTTAATAGACTAAGTTGGAATTTTACTCTCTCTGTGTTATAGTGTCTTTGCAACCCGATATCTCCTAACTCTGCTTATGTCCTGAGAATACATATTTAACCAAAATTCTCAACAGCTTAGGATACTGTAGGGAGTGTAGTTTTGCTGCCCATTGGGTTATATGTGGGGAACCATCAATGAACGACACTTCCCACAGTACTCTAAGCCTTCTAGGAAGCACTGGGACAGGAAGTAGGCCCCCCCAGACAATATACTATCCTACTCAGCTGGGCATCATAGCAGCGGCAGAGGGAAGGAGAAGGCACAGAACAAGTAAGGTAGGTGATGGGGCCCATGAAAGGGGACTATGAGGTGGGGAACCCATGAAGCTTCCCCCTTCATGTAGAGATGGGCCTGGACTATATGAACCATGAACTGGTTCAGTTTTTGTTTGTTTTTTAATTGGTACGATTCATGATTTATGGTTCATGCACACAGGACAAACCATGAACCACTATTGTGCTGGTTAATGCCCATCTCTAATTAGAAGTATCAACATGTTCGTTAGTTTCTCAGTTTGAGGGATTACTGGAGGAGAAAGTTAATCTAGATTCATTTCAGTGTGGGATTTGGGCTCCACAGGGTTCAGTTACTTCCCTCATACTGTTCAATATATACAAGAAACTGTCGGGAGAATTTGTCTAGAGTTGAGCGCCTTGATGCCAATTGTATGCTGATGGCACCCAACAATATTTCTCTTTTCCAATCAATTTCAGCAAAGCTGTTTCAGTCCTAAACCAGTAATTCTCTGGATGAGAGTGAACAAATTGAAGCTCAGTACAGACAAGATAGAACTGCTCCAGGTCATTTGAAAGGCAGGTCAGGAAAGAGAAAGTCAGTTTGTACCAAGTGCAGTTAGATAGATTCTGACTGAAATTTCACACATGTGGCTTTAGTGTTCTCCTAGGTCCATCCACGAGACTGGATTCCCAGGTTCCAGCAGTGTCTAGGACTGCCTTTATACAATTAAAGCTGGTGCAGCAGATACACCCATTCCTTGGGGTATCTGATCTGATTATCCTACTTGGATTACTGCAATGTACTCTACCTGGAGCTGCCTTTGAAGAGTGTTCAAAAACTGGTCCAAAATTCTGTAATCTAAAAGAGAACAATTCTCTCAACACCTTCATATCTTCATAGTCTCTAAATAGGATGGGTGATTAGCAAATTGTGAGTACTATTTTTCAGTCATTTTAATATGTCTTAAGTAAGATAATTCCCCAATTGTCTATGCTGAGAAACGTAAGGTAAAATGGTAAAGGGAATATTAAAAATGCAAAATAACTTTCACAAGCTTTTGAAAAAGATATATCTCAAATCCTCAGTTTTATGACCACCTCAAGTTCATCTCTGCTGCAGTTTCAAGTACATCTACAAATGTGGATTCACGCTCCAACTTTCTGATGCTTCACAATGATTAAAATTTGAAACTTGCAAATTTGTCAAGCTTTGGAAAGATATGCAAATTTGCATTACAATGTCCTATAGAAAGGAACAAAGAGAGGAGGGTGTGAGAAAATGACACAAATGTGGAAATCTGCAATGCAAATACAAAAAGCACAAATAGAAATCACAGAACTCTTTCAGGAGGTCTCAGGAAGCTTAAATATATATTCGTACTTTCAAAAATTGTGTTGATTTTTAAAAGATATGAATCCAGCTCTAATGGAACTTTGCAATTTTTAGTAAACATAACAAGCACTCATTTCTCCACAGACTCAGAAATTGCAAAGCTTTTGTATCTATGAATAAGCGGCTGTAAATCAGCATATGAACAATTTGCCAATCACTCATCCTGTGTCATTTCAGCCATTTCAAATTCAACAGACAAAATCATCCCCAGACAACAGACTTGTTCTCTGTATGCATGATAAAAAATGTTCTCCAATGTGTGCATGTTGTTGCTTAGTCGTTAAATCATGTCCGACTCTTCCTGACCCAATGGACCAGAGCACGCCAGGCCTTCCACTATCTCCCGGAGTTTCTTCATATAGAATTACCCAGTGGTAGAGGATTCCAAGGGATGAGCATATGATCTGTACTATGGTTACTTGGAAAAGACAGAAGTGAGAACTGCTTGGATGTATGATCCTACAAAAAAAATTATCCATGAGGATCCATATGTTAGATCCATGTTTTTGTGTCAATACAAAGCCGTGCACTGAGGGATTTAAAAAAATGTTCTCCAATGTGTGCATGTTGCTGCTTAGTTGTTAAGTCATGTCCGACTCTTCCTGACCCAATGGACCAGAGCACGCCAGGCCTTCCACTACCTCCCGGAGTTTCTTCATATATAATTACCCATTGGTAGAGGATTCCAGGGGATGAGCATATGATCTGTACTATGGTTACTTGGAAAAGACAGAAGTGAGAACTGCTTGGATGTATGATCCTACAAAAAAAATTATCCATGAGGATCCATATGTTAGATCCATGTTTTTGTGTCAATACAAAGCCGTGCACTGAGGGACCCATGATGTCTATGGTGTAATCTATGATCATAAATAAGGCTTGCGGTTTGGGGATCTATGAGCATCTCTGACTTGTTTTGGTGTTTTGTGCCACTGCAGAGGCATGTGCCGGGGGACCCATACTTTCTGTCTTGACGTCTATGGACACTGATGGCCTGTATGATTGGACAGTGATTTGGGGATGATGGTGCAGAAAAACCATATGGATCCATGAGGATCCATGCTTTTGATCCATGCTTTTGCACAACCGCAAAATCATGCGCTGAAGGACCCACAATATTTGATTTATTGTGTGGAGTGAGAAGGGACCTATGATTGGACAGTGGTTCGGGGATGATCCAACATCAAAATCATGTGGATTTATGAGAATCCATGCATCACATCAATGAGTTTGCATCACTTGAAAGCCATGCACTGGGGGAAGCAAGATTTCTGTGGTGTAGTTTGTGGGTCTCTTTTATTTGATAATGGTCCTATGAAAACATAATATGGATCCATGAGGATCCATGCCTTGGATTGGTGTTTTTGCACTATACACTTGAGGACCCACAATTTCTGTGTTTAATGTGTGGCCAGATATGTAGCCTATGATTGGACAGCAATTTGGGGATGGTCCTGTAGAGAGAAAAAACATGTGGATCAGATTAATGTCTTTGTGCCACTGCAAAGCTGTGTGATGAAGGACCCACAAATTTTGTGGTGTAGTCTGTGGGTCATAATGGGATTTATGATCTGATTGTGGTTTAGGGAGATTTACGTCCAAAAATCATATGAAACCATGTGGCTCTGTAAGCATGCGAGCAAACTAGGTAAACACATGTGTAAACCAGGTAAAACTTGCTTTGAGATCAACACCAGCAATAAAGCAATAACAACAACAACAACAAAACAGTAATTCCACAGTTTAAATGAATGAGCTTCTATTTTTTTTTAAAAAAATATTTTCACAGACTGGAAGGAAGGAGTTAAACGCTAAGCATGATTGAGTTGTGTAATTCACATATTAGAATTTGTGTAACCAATCAGATTGTGTCTGTCGTTAGCCAATGGGTTTTAAGAGTGTCAATTTCTGGATATTGGAGATAAAAACAAGTGACACTTACTAATAGCATGTATTAACCTTTGAACTGCAGGACTGCAAGGGACCCTATGGATAAAAAAATATTTTCACAGGCTGCAGCTAAAACTGTGTGGTCAGGAAGGAGTTAAACACTAAGCACGATTGAGTTGTGTGATTTACATATTAGAACTTGTGTAACCAATCAGATTGTGTCTGTTGTTAGCCAATGGGTGTTAAGAGCGTCAATTTCTGGATATTGGAGATAAAAACAAGTGACACTTACTAATAGCATGTATTAACCTTTGAACTGCAGGACTGCAAGGGACCCTATGGATCATCAAACTCAACCCCTGTCAAGGAGGTACAGAGAGGAATCAAACTCCCAACCTCTGTCTCCGCAGACAGATATCTAACCCACTGAGCTATCCAGTGGTTAATTATTCAGTTCATTGCCTGTTAGAAGTAGTCTGTTATGTTGTCTGTTAGGATTCTGTTTGTACTGTTGATCTGATCATTTGTCTGTTACTATGTCTCATAAGGAGCATGATGTGAAACCATTGTAAGCCTGTCCAGCACAAAACCTATACCAAGCCAATATGTTTAAACACTATTAGTTTATTCAACATATATGTTATACATTAAATGTCTTTTATATCTAACCCACTGAGCTATCCAGAGGTTAATTATTCAGTTTGTTGCCTGTTAGAAGTAGTCTGTTATGTTGTCTGTTAGGATTCTGTTTGTACTGTTGATCTGATCATTTGTCTGTTACTATGTCTCTTAAGGAGCATGATGTGAAACCATTGTAAGCCTGTCCAGCACAAAACCTATACCAAGCCAATATGTTTAAACACTATTAGTTTATTCAACATATATGTTATACATTAAATGTCTTTTATTTTGATTTTACCATGACCAAGTGGATATCATTTCAATTACTGGCACCACAAAGGAGAAGAATGCTTACTATTGATGTGTTTTTCCATACTACACTTGTTGATATTTCTTCTGGCAACCTTAATTTCGGTTTGGGATTCCTCCAGTCCAGCCTTTTGCATGATGTATTCTGCATGTAAGTTAAATAGGCAGGCAGACAATATACAGCCTTGCCATACTCTTTTCCCAATTAGCCTTTTTTAAAAAAACTAGGAGTGACCAGCCTATCACTTCCCTTTTTTGAGTAACCACCGTCCATGTGTTGTGTTTAAATGGCAAATGGTTCTCCATTTGGCACACAGCAAGAGCAGACCTGCTACATCATTGCCAAATTTGCTGCTGTTCTGAGGTCCAGTTTCATAGCTATACTTTTTTGTTTGGGCTCCCCAATGTTTTGATTTTGCTTGTAGAATTCTGTTTACTGTCCTTACGCAAAATATATGACACCAGTACCATTGCGCCATAAACTGCAGGATGCTTGTGGGATGCAGCAATGGAGGCTAGTGCATTAAAGCAATTGGATGGGGCACTGCCTCACTTTAGGCTCTGGCTATACAGATTCAGCCCTTTCTTGATAGTAGAAGGTCAGCACACCATGAGAATCCCGCCCTCCCCCTTCTGAAGGCCCAGGCTCACCATACTCTACATGACTAGGGGGAAGGGGAGTGAAGGGAAAGTAGGATTAATAAAAATGAATATGAGTAAATAAATCAATGGAAACCATGTTTGGTTTTAATGCCCGGCTCTGAAATCAGGCTCATGTATGTGTATGTGTGTGTCCTCCTTTAGACATGTATGTGCAAGTGTCCATCTTTCTTTAAACAGGTAGACAGAAATGGAGGTGATGAAAGAGAGAGGGAAGGAGGGGGCAAGGAGAGAAAATATGAATATATGGCTAAAAGTTCTGAAACAGGTACATGGAATAACTCCAATCAAGCCAATGGCTTCCATGTTTTGATAGCAGAGAGATACTTTATAACCCATTTCTGTATTTTAAGGTTCACAAACCCGATCTTTTAGTTGTCATTTACCTTTCTCAATCTAATAATGCCTTCTTGTGTCTGGGAGTCTGAGGTGATTTCAAAGATATCCACTCCGTCTCCTTCAATAATGTCATAGGATGACTTAGCATTCTCGCCAATATCCAAGTCATTTGCTTTAACCCTTCCTATCGGTTCTCCAATTGCAATGTCTTCCAATATGGAAAAATGGTACAAATCTGAGAGAAAGGAAGAAAAAGAGAGAGATGAAAGCAGCAGCAGCCACTGAACATTACATTTGATTACAGCATTTTTTCTTCATGTCCTTCCATTGCCTAAATGTGGCTATTTGAGACACAGTCATGGTCTCCCAGCATTGTTTACTTAAACATTTCATTACATACCCACTGTATGGTAATGCACAGTCAATTTCAGGAATGGTTCATTTTATTATCATACCTCTATGACTGTTTGGTATTGTAAACACAAAATAGTGAGTAATTTTTATTAGGAAGGAAGGAAGGAAGGAAGGAAGGAAGGAAGGAAGATTGTTGCAGCTTCCTATCAGGCATTTTATAATGCATCTCACATTTCCTTATTTATATATTTACTAGATTTGGATCCCATTTTTCTCCCCAGACTGAGACTGAAAAGAAGTCTGGAACAGCAGCACAAACTACAGCATAAGGAATGCTTTGAACCATGAGATGTTCCTATGCCAACATTCATTGTGTCCGCAACCTTCATAATAACTATGGAAGTAACTAGAGTGTTACTATGACATCAAAGGCAAATCGTGACCCCTCCCCTTTAAAATATAGCCATAATGTAAAATGGTTTTTACCTTTGTTATAGGGGGAAAATGAGTTGATTTGCAGGCAAAATAAAGGTGATAGGCTTTTTCAAACCAAAGTGGTTATACTGCTCTTGTGTGATGCAAAAATCACTTCACCACAAACACATCAGAAGCTATCTGCTCTGTTCACACAAGCACGAGGCATCTCTGCTCACTTTGGCTAAACAGAAACGTGTCATTTTGCAAAACTGAACACTGACAAATAAGAGAGCACAAGACCATATGATTTATAGGGCAATTTGTTCAGCAGAGTTGTGTAAATATTCTTATGATTGTACCATCCATGACTTCTACCCCAAAAATAAGCCCTAGTTAAGTGAAACCCCATCCTCCACCCTTGTGCAGCAACCAGAAGATGACATGACTGTATTTGGATAAATGTAGATTGTTGTACATGGGGGGGAACTCCTTGAAAATAAGCCCTAATGCATTTTTGGAGGAAAAATTAATATAAGACTGTCTTATTTAGGGGAAAACATGTTAGAGATTTTAGTCAAAAATGTTCATTTATTATTTATTCATTTAAATCTTTATTCTGCCCATCTAATGATGAGGTGACTACTCCGGGTGGCTTATAATATCGTAATATAAGCATATAATAAAATGACAGTAATAACCTAATAAAACATGGCACGAAGAATCCCAAATTCCCAAATAAAAATATATAAAAGATTACAAAGATACAATAGATGGTAGCAAATAGACAATTATTCCAGAGTTCGTGGAATATAAGTAATTACACTCTGCAAAGATTACTACGGGTAACTCTGAGAAAACTTTAGAAATTCTTGTGCGTGGTGTGTAGGAGAGCAGGAGGCTGTTACCTACAAACATGTTACCTTTCACAGGGAGAAAGTAACAATGGAGAAGGAAGTGCTTCATGCTCTCTTCTTCATGTATTGGACAGAAAAGGGTAAGTAATGCCTGCATAGGGCTCAAGTTATAGCAATATGATATCATCATAAAATCCTGGGATCTGTAGTTTGGTGAGCTGCTTAAAATTCTGTGCTGTAATTCACCAATCCAGAAATGACTGCTGGATGGAATCATGGGATTTAAAACGGGATGAAACAGATGCAATAGTTCTGTTACATTCTGCCTCATATTCCATTAGCAGTTTAATTATATCTTTGCTGCTCCCAGTTGGGTTCAGAAACACTTTTCCCATTTCCTGTGTATATTTCAAAATTTACACATTCTTCTATGCATTCTTCTAACATATGAATTAAATTCACAGACTAAAGCATGTTCTTCAAAATGACATTTTTTAAAGCTATGGAATTTTTTTTTTGCACTAATGCACCTATAGTTTTGTCCACATTTCCCCCTTCAAAACATAGCACATATCAGATAAATATATTAATTTCTGAAACAAAATTTTCCTTTTTCTGGTTTTGGGAGGTTGAAAACTGCTAGAGAATTACAAATTCAATATATCTATTTTCCCTTTCTGGGCAGTCAACAATCTTATCTCTGACTGAGAAGTAAGAACTACCAGTTCAGTCAGATTTTGTATGTGTGAAGGCACTATCACCACCAGCATCATCTTAGAAATGCAGAGTTGGAAGGGATCCTAATGACCATTGAGTCCAACCCCCATCAAGGGGCCACAATGGGGAATCAAACTACCAACCACTGGTTCCATAGCCAGTTATCTAAAGCCCTGAGCTAACCACTATGTACATAAACAATTTCTTCTCAAGCAAAAAATATATAGAGTTATTCCCAGTAAGTTGCTCGGAAGGCTAGGCATAAGCATTGACTAAAGCCTGAATTACTAACCAAATTGGCCTGATTCAGGCTGAATTCTATTTCACAACAAAGCAAAACAAATTTATAAGTTGATTTGGAGCCAAAGCACCAAATGGGAGCTTCTAGATTTCATAAAGCAAAATTTAATATGCAAACCCACAAATCTAGTTCTTTGAAATTTGACAGGCTTAACCACCTCTTCAGGGCCTATTATGTCTCCAAATTTAATATGCACAGATGTAAAAACATGGAAGTTATAGTCTTTCCATCTTTCCAGTGCAAGTCAATTGAATATTGATTCAGATCTGGGTTACAAATAAAAATTGGGTGGAGCACAAAATTGCTCTGTATGAAATCTGGATTGATTTGGAAGTCCCAAATTTGCCTTCAGAACACATCATAGGGACATCGTTGCTATGTTGGGATAGTCATATTTACACATAGCTTTTAAAAACAGAACAACAGGCATAATAAAGAAATCAAGGGGAGCAATAGAGCAAGTAATCTTTAATTCTAAAACCACTGTGGAATTTCAAAACAAGGTTTTGAGAAGCTTCTTTTAAGACAGCTTAGAGGAAACTAGTCCCATTTTCCAGGATCCTTTTGCCTGTTCCTAATTCAAATCTGAAGACGTTGCCCTTAAATGGCTTAAATTGGGTTTCAACACAGTGCTTCATATTACAGCTGAGACTTCTCATTACTTAGGGAAAGAATCAAATTGCTCATTCTAATGACATCTCTCTCTGACTTTTTTGTAATGATCTGGAAGCCAGCAAAGCATGGGTAACCTCTGGCTCCTGAACACATCTACAGACAGTCTAATTATGCACGCTTCTTGGTAATTCACTTGTTTCAGCAATGGGTAAGAGGTGAAATTATCAGTTTCAGGACTACTTATCATTGAAAGCAATCAGGCAAAGCCACGCATACCTGATGAGTCAGAAAGTCTTAAATGGAAGCAGTGGGACCTGTTCTCCCCTCTATTCCCCCAAGGGCAGAATTTGTTGGTATATGTTATACCATAATTGTCATGACTATTTGCATAGATTATAGTTGGCTGTGAACCTCTGAATGGTTATAGTGTGTGTGTGTGTGTGCTTAAGAAGATACATGTCAAGAAAATATATTTAGCATGTATAGCTTTCAAATTTTATTTTTAAATTCCATTATCCACAGACAACAGTCTGCTTACTAAGCAATTAGACCCTATTTTAGCCGCAGACTCTGCCTCAAGAAAAGAGGTTTTCTGTATTATCTCTCTCCTGCCCTTCATTCATGGTATGAAGAGAGGAGGGTGCATTTCTGACTGCACTACATTACAGACAAGTTCATTTGCTACCTCTCTTAAGTGTGCCAACTATACCTTCTCCTGCCATAAGAAATTGGCAGGCGGAAACTGCACACCCACAATGGCATCAATGAAAACAACATTGGATAATGGACCAACATTCTCCTTCCCCAGAGAAATTGATTCTCTTCCGAGAAACAGGCCCTCAGACTTTATGGGACAATGAAGATGTCAAGAACTCAGCCTTTATGGAGCAATGAAGAGTGCTACTAAATTTTTGTAAAATCCTTAAAAATCACCTCTGGGATCTCTTTAATCTCTCCTCCCCTAAAAGGTCCCAATGATATACAGTCTTGGTCAGATGGGAGAACAGGTTGCCTTATCCTACTATCTTGGAACTCAGAGCCTATAACTATCCTTTCCTTCACTTACTCACTCATTCACACATGCACATGCAAAGCCAGTGAAAAGCAGAGGCTTGTCTGGATCCTACCTCTCCCCTTTCTTCCACTCAGATTCATTCTGGTGCTCAGCCATCCAGCCATTTTCCTTCACCCCGATTACCCAGGAGGGACACTGACTTTCAAAAAATGTGAAACCAAGTGACCACTTCTTTAACCTTCTCGACTACTTCGCAGATCACAACTTGAGCTTTTTCATGCTCTAGGTACTCTGATGTGGTCCTTGACTCAAAATGTATTTAGTGACTCTCATGCTCAGACACGTGCTGGTGCTGGAGGAGGCTGGAGGAGGCTCTTGAGAATCCCCTGGACTGCAAGGAGAACAACCAACATGAATTTGACCCAACTCCGGGAGGCAGTGGAAGATAGGAGGGCGTGGTGTGCTCTGGTCCATGAGGTCACAAAGTAGTGACTCTCATGCTCAGACACGACGTGTTAGGATCCACATTTAAATGTGAATTCTCATGCCAATTTTCAAAAAAGACATACGGTACTATATGCCAGTGATGGCGAACCTATGGCACACATGCCACAGCCATTGCTCAGACACAACATGTTAGGATCCACATTTAAATGTGAATTCTCATGCCAATTTTCAAAGAAAGACATACTATATGCCAGTGATGGCGAACCTATGGCACACATGCCACAGCCATAAGTCACCATAAAGAAATCCTTACCCGTCCTCCAATCCCGGATTTCGGCACGCCCCTCTGCTGGTGCAGTGGTCCAGCGGAGGGGTGCAATGGCGAACATTACCGGTCTAGCCCAATGCGGGATTGGAGGACTAGTAAGTATTTATTTGTTAATACTGCCCATGAGGGGGGGAAAAAAACACGTATTTAACCCTTGCAGTGCAGGAGCAGTTGTTTTTTCTAAACT